CTACCTTTATGCAGAAAAGGGGGAGGTTTTTCTACGTTTGCTGCTTCTTGATTGCCTTCAGTTCAAAATAATTTTCATGTCAAAGAGGCATATTTTGGGGTGACGTATTCTGATTCCCGTCAGGATGCACTGCCTTGGTGGTTCTCTTTCCGTATAAGCTCTTGGCTCTCCCAGCTCCATGATAGTGCCAACCCCTCCCCTCCCTGGTATAGTAATTAACATCATGGTCCCTGGATTTTTGGGGTTCAAATCCTGGTCTGCCACTTATCAGCTGGGCCACTTTAGGCAGGTAACTTAACCTTTGAATGCCTCAGTCTCCCCGTCTGTAAAATGGCGATAAAATAGGACCACCCCATGGGGTTGTTGTAAAGATTTAACAAGTTAACATTAGTACAGTGTTTTAGCACTGTGCCAGGCACATGAAGACGAAAGCACCCACTGTGTTTTTCACCTGTGTGAATCCTACCCCACATCTTGTCTCTTCTCTTCTGAGAAGCCCTGGCCCCAACCATCAGAACTCTAGGTGGTCTCTTCCTTTCTGGAATCTGCGGCGAATTCTGGGACTTCAGTCACAGCATTGTATCTTAGGGAAAATCTTTTCCTCTTATTGTCTTGATGAGGAAACAGTCTCAAAGATAAAATGGCAGAACTGGGACTTGAACTCAGAGTTCAAAGCAACAGAATCAGGACTTGAACCCAGTACGTTTCTGACTCTAAAATTAGCACCGTTTCCAACGTACTATGTTTATAGCATTGTATACCTTTCTATCCCATTATGGTAGGCACTGCATATGCCTTGGAAAAAGAATATTAAAAGCATTCATCATGGTGATATTTGTAATTGCAAAAAAAAATGAGGAGATGTTGGTCTGACCAAATTTCAACAGGTTCCTTTACCTTATGACTTTCCAGTGGCTTTAATATGCTGATTTGTACTGTGAATCTGAAATCGGGAGATTTGGCATGTGCAGTTTCATATACTGATTTGTCCTCAGGCCCTTTTCCTGAGGGGTGCTTCTCAGCATCTCAAAACCAATGTTCCACGGAACATGGTTTGGGGAATGCAGCCCTGTTCTCCAGAGGCCCCCCCACCTAGCCCCGCGGACTCGTGAGTTCATTGAAGTTCACCTTTGCTTCCGCCACAGTGACGCTGGCAGGCTGGGACGAGCCAGCGGGAGGCGAAAGCAGAGTTTATTGAAGAGAAAAAGCAGCTACAGATGGACCATCCAGGAGACTTGGAAAGGAAAGGAGCAGGAATCTGTTTTTCTGCGGGGTCTGCAGGTTTTTGCTAAGGACAGTGGTCTCGTGTACTTGTCCTCTCAGGCATCCAGGAACTGGTTAGAACAAAGATGAGGACCCAGGTGTTCCTCCTTGGAGCCAGGGGGCCTTGACAGTGGTCTGGAATACGCAGATGATAGCTTCCTCTGGTCATTCTCACCTGGTCCCTCCTTAGATGTTATCTATTCTAGAGAAATCCATTAGCTCCTTGTCCCTTACAAGGAGGACATATGCTGTTTACCTCACAAGGCATGTCTAAAGTGGAGTGGGGGTGCAGGTCCTAAAAGGAATAGAGCCCCAAAAGAAGCAAAGGAAAAAGAACAGCTTTTTCTCTCATGGGGTCCCTTCTCTTTCCCTGTCTCAACACACGACAAGTGCTGTGCCGGTGACCGACCTTCCGAGGGCCAGTCCTGGGGATTCTCTGCAGCGACGCTCTCGCTTTATCTCGTCAGCAGCTGACGCCGCTCTGCTGTGGGAGCATCTGGCATGTCACATCTGCATTGGGGTTTGCAGAGGCAAGACGGTCTGGGGACACTGGCTTCGGGAAGGTGCTGGGTAGTCACTGGAGGGGGAGGTCAGGTATTGTAGTTTGCACGTGCCTCGAGCTGCCTCAGGCAAGCGGTACATGTTTCAGACCCACAGGTCAGTGAGGTTTGATCTGAAGGAGCGTGCCTTGAGTCTCAGTGCTCAGGCCTTTGGATGTGCACCGGCCTTGGTTGCTGTCGTCAAGCAAGTGGTCAGTGCGGAAAGCCCCGCTAAGATGTGCCAGCCAGCACAGAGTCGCTGGCAGCTAGGCAGGGGTGCGGCTGCTCGGGCCTGGGAAATGCAGGGGGGGTACACCACCAGTGAGCCTTCACTGGGAGCTACCAGGCCCCGCCCCGCTTCAAGGGCTTTGCAGCCAGCAACTCACTTTGACCTCCTAACGGCCTTGTGCCATGAGCCCAGGACCCTCACAAACACAGTGTCGTTACTTGCCCAGGGTCACACATCTGGGAAGTGGCAGTGCTGGGGTTTAACGAGAAGCCATGCTGTGGGGCGCCTGGGGGGCTCAGTCGGTTAAGCGTCTGCCTTCCGCCCAGGTCATGGTCTCAGGGTCCTGGGGTCAAGTCCTGCGGCAGGCTCTGCGCTCAGCGGGGAGTCTGCTTCTCCCTCTGCCCTCCCCCTGCTCCTGCACGCACATGCTCTCTATCTCTCTCATTCACTCTCTCTCTCTCAAATAAATAAATAAAATCTTTTTAAAAAGAAAGAAAGAAAGAAAAGAAAGCCATGCTGTTGACCACTCTGCCTCACAAGCCCTCAAGGGGTCTGAGGAGGTCGGAAAGGAAGAACAGACCAGGAAGAGGCCCCAGGACGCAAGTCAGGAAGGACCAGAAAACAATGGCAACTTTGCAGATTCCTCTCTTGTTCTTCTGGCCTTCTTACCTCTCACCAGTGCCCTGGGGCCTTGAATGTGGCTGGTTCTCACCGGGGCCCTGCCCGGTGGCTCCTTGCAGCCTCTGCTGGGAGAGGCGAGTTCCAGGGAGAGGCCTGTGGGCTAGAGAAGGACGCACTGGGGCAGAAGGGACGCCTGAGGCACACTCCTTCTAGAGACGTGAGAGCAGGAGACCAACAGGCTCCCTGGTTTTACTGGGAAGAAACCGAGCCAGCGTCCCTAGACTGAGATACAGCCGGGCCTGCTGCCTCTGGGAGGCGGCTCACGTCCCACTGGTAGCATCAGGAGCCCCCAGCCCCCCTCAGTGCCCCTGCACAGAGCTTTCTGCCCTGAGCACCCAAAATGGGCTTGTGCTTTCTCGACAAGTCTGAGTTTCTAACAACCAGGAGCTTGGCCTCTGTCCCGTGCAGGCCCTGCCTCCTAGGCCTCTCAGAAATGTTTGAGGAAGGGCCTGGCACTGGGGCTTTGCAGTACCAGCTTCTCTGTGATGCTCTTTCCTCACTCCCTTACAACACAAATGGCCGGTGCTCCTGGTCTGGGGACAGTGCTGAAGGAGGCTGCCGGGAGAGTGTAGGGCACGTCCCCTGGGCATCTTGGGCAGAAGCGTGCTGACGGCTGCACCGGGCAGCGGGCAGGGTGGCCGAAGGGGGAAGGAGGATGGGTTTAAATCCCAGGCTGGGAGGCCCGAGACAGAGAACGCCACCCCTGGGCGCTGTTCCATCAGGAGAACTAGCTCTGGCTGGCGTCCAGAGCCCGAACACCCCCTGCCCGGCGTGGGCAGGGAGGCGATGAGGAGATGCCAGGCCAACCCAGAGAGCCTGAACCCGGAGGGCCTGGCTCTGCAGCCCTCCTCATGCCCCGCAGGTGGGAGGCTAGAGACGTCTGCACAGCTGCCCGCGAGGCGGGCGAGGGGTGACATGAATCAGTTACCTGATATCCTGTCCTCCTTCGGCGTGCCCCTTGGCTTCTCCAAGAGAGCACCTGTTCCCTTGAACTGGAGTCACCCCGAGGCCCAGGTCACCGCTCCTTCCTCCTCCTGGCACTGCCGCCCCGCACCCCCTCCCAATCAAAAGTCCCAGAGAGCCGCTTTTCTCCGCAGCTGTAAAGCTCTTTGTGTGATTCAAGTAATTCCCACTAAAGTAAGTCATTCTTTTCCAAATGACCCATAGGCTTGATCCTTCCACGGGGCATTTGCCTTTCAGCTGGAGAGTTTGTACAAGCAGAATTAAGCATTAATTGGGAGAATGAGGGAGCAATTATTTTGGGGGGGTGGACTTGCCCAGGCCTTTCCCTGCCCTCCCCTTGGCTCCTCCCCACAGTGCCCACTCCCCCGCACCGGGCAGGGAGGGGTGCGGCTGGGATGAGGAAGGAGGGATCCCTGAGGCGGGAGGAAGGTGGAACAGCATCGGATCCCAGACGGTTCCGTGTTCTCTGTCCACCGACAGTCTTTATGGTGGGACTTACAAGAGTCAGCTTTTTATTTCCCCAAGGTTTGTTCTATGATCACTGATTTCCTAACACCAACATGTCACAGAACCCAGAGACAAAGCGGTCCTGTCAGACAGCCTTCTCCATGGAATAGACTCAGCTTTCTAAAAATGCACCACATGGCTCTCAGTCTCTTGGTTTGCCACAGGCTGGTGGACACTTCGTGGGGTGGGGGGGCCCCGCCCCACCCTACAACACCCCCATCACCCTGCATTAAAGATGCATTTCCAAATGTTAATAATTCATGGTAATGTTAATTTATCATCGTTTCACATAACATTCTATAATGGAAAAGGCCCCAGGGGACGGGATGGTAGAGGAGATTGAGGAGCAGAGAATAAAAGAAGTGGGGTGTCAGTGGGGGGTAGGAGGAATAAGCACCCCTCAAGCTGTGTCCATCTTCCCAGGACACAGGGTTGGGGGGGAGGTTCTTGGGCTGCAGGAGGCAGGTTTATAGTCCTGCCCCCGAGAGTGTGTGTGTGTGTGTGTGTGTGTGTCCGCAGGGCTAGCACCTGACCTTTAGGTGAGCCCCCAGCCCTCAAAGTGCCCCTCCACGGCCTGGCTTCATGCTCACACACACATCGCCGTGCTTGACCCCCCGCAAAGGACGCGAAGCACCAGGGGCAAAGGTGTGGGATGCGGGCAAGGGGTGGGAGGCGGCCACCCCAGGGCACTCGGGGGGAGGGATCTTTCTGCTTCCCGGCCTGGGTTTGGTTCCTTACGAGCCGCCTTGGCCTGGTTCCCAGGTCCCCCCAGCCTGCCTGGGAGGCCACGCTCACAGGTTTTTCTTCTTGCTGTCCTAGGTGTGTGTGGTTGCTGTGGCGCTCTACGCCCCAGGTACAAAAGGCTGGTTGACAACATCTTCCCGGAGGATCCCGAGGTGGGTCACACCTCCCCCGGCATCACCTCCCACCGTCCACCCCGTCCAGGGCGGCAAGGGGAAGGCGGGTCTCCCGGGCCCCTCACCCGTGGGCCCGCTCAGACTCCGGTCAGTGGGGAGAGGCAGCCAGGGGCCTGCAGGCTGCGGAGATTTGGATCTGTCCGGAGTCAGGATCTGCAGGGGGCGCGGGAAGTTGGTTTTGGCACACTGTGGGCCTTTGCCGTACCACTGCGACATCTTTCTCCCCCGTGTCTCTCTGAGCAATGGTTCCTAGAACTGCTAACTCTCTTGATGGTACTCTTTCCCTGCTGCTTCGTGTGAGCACTGCCCTTCTCGGGTTTTGGCTCAGGAGCCCGGGTCTTCTCTGTGGCTCCCTCTGGCATCTGCCAGGTGTCTGGGTATGTGCACGCGGGAGGCCTGGCTTCTCGGCTTCCCGGCCGCCACTCCCCGCTCAGGCTGCATTATGGGTTGTGTGATTTTGGAAATGTCAGGATCTGATATTCTTGACTTGCTCTCTGGAAATCAATGATGTCTTCTTGATGGACAGTTGAAGGCCACGTTTCCAGCATCCTCTGGAGAATTCCCTAATTGCTGCTGAGCTGCCTTCTCTTCCTGTTCATGTCTTGGTGCCGGATATCCAGCACATTTTAATTCTGAGTTGCTTTCAGTGAAGCCTTGTCATTCACACACACACACACACACACACACACACGCACACACACGCACACACGTATACACATGTGCATATATACACTCATGTATATATACATGTACACATGTATCCACATACATACATACATAATATATACATTTATACCAGCATTCTAATTTATAGCTGGCACACTCTGAGCTAAGCTGTGTGTTCCTGGAGGCAGGAACCATGTTTTAATCATCTCTGTATCCCTAACCCCACATGGGGGGTTTGTCACATACATAATGGCACTCTGCAAAATGATGATTAAATTGACATATTATTTAGCTTTAGACTTGAACCCTTCTAGCCATGGAATGGTCACGGTGAGATATGATGGCCTGTCTTTTACAGGATGGCCTGGTGAAGACCAACATGGAGAAGCTGACCTTCTACGCCCTCTCAGCTCCAGAGAAGCTGGACCGAATTGGCGCCTACCTCTCTGAGAGGCTCATCCGTGATGTGGGTCGTCATCGATACGGGTAAGAGTGTGAGAAAGTGAGAGAGATACTTTCAGAAGTGATGTTATACTTTTAGGGCAAAACATAGGGTCCTTTTATGAAAATGATAGCAGACTTAGTCATTGAACAGACAGGGAGAAAGGAGACTGGGCCTGAGGGAGCTTCTTCCAATGGCAGGTAAAATTTGAGGCCATTGCCAAGATGCAGGAAGAAGGGGATGTTGGCTTCCTAGGAGCACCTCTTTTAGCATCCATTTTCCCGTCGTGTATCTATCCAGAAGCCCTCACCCACAGTCTAGGGCCTTGAAAAGTTGGTCTAGGGGTGCCTGTGGCTCAGATGGTTAAGTGTCTGCCTTCGGCTCAGGTCATGATCCCAGGGTCCTGGGATCAAGCCCCACATTGGGTTCCCTGCTCAGCGGGGAGCTTGCTTCTCCCTCTCCCTCTGCTTCTCCCCCTGCTCATGTTCTCTCTCTCTCTCTCTATCTCTGTGTCTCAAATGAATAAATTAAAAAAATCTTTAAAAAAAAAAAGTTGGTCTAGTCCAGAATCTGCCATTATTCTCATCAAACCAAAAAACTTACAGTCTTAAAAAGCAAGGAAGAGGGGGCACTTGGGTGGCTCAGTCGGTTAAGTGTCCGACTCTTGATTTCAGCTCAGGTCATGATCTCAGGGTCGTGAGATCTAGCCTCACGTCATGCTCCGGGCTGGACACGGAGCCTGCTTGGGATTCTCTCTCTCCCTCTCCCTCTGCTCCACCCACCTCTCTCTCTAATTAAAAAAAAAAAAAATCGAACAATAAATATTAAACAAAAAAAGGAGGGAGGAACCATCTACATTTTAGTGAGAAGGCAAGGTTAGGGGTAATTTGTCCATTAAAAATGCACATAAATGAAATATTTATCAATCTGAGAGGAAAGGACTTGCTATGTTTAGTAAAGAAAAGAAATCTTAAATGAAGATGACAGATCAATAGATTTAACTGTTTGAAAATTTAAATATTTTGACGTCAAAAAAGAAGCCATCAAAATTTAAAAGACAACCAAAATAAGTGTTTTGAAAGAATAAGACAAAAGATTCAAACTCATCTATTAGTAGCATATGACAAATGGTGGGGCTGGAGTGGGGAAACTGAGTCACTAAAAACTGTGAAGCCAGGGCCCCAAATAACCAACTCACAGAAACAGGAAGGAGAAATAATGATAGTCAATAAACTTATAAAGATGTGGCTTGAAATACTAAGGTACCATCTTCACTTAGCAAACAGATAAAAAAAAAAGTATTTCTAGTACTAACCAAGGAATGGCAACATGAGGGGCCGTTTCATACTTTTCTAGAATAAGTGCAAATTGATTGAACCTTTTTAGACCATGATTTTGAAATATAAGTCAAGTCTTCAAAAACATTTATGCCCTTTGATCCAGTAAATTCTTTTTCTATTTTTCTATCCCAAGAAATCAATCTTAAATATAAACTAGCTTTACACACAGAGATGTTCATTATGGTCTTTTTTATAATAATGAAATAGTGGAAATTAATGTCCAATAAGAGGAAAATAGTTTAGTGAATTACAATGTTTCTCACTTCGTGAAATGTTATCTATTCAATAGAAAGTATCTTTATAAACATGCTTTCCCCATAATAATGGAAATGCCTTAAGGAAATGAAAAATAGAATATGTAATTATATATGCAGTGTTTTACAATCAAGTTAAAAAATAAACAACAAATATCGATGCCTAGAAAATATAGTAAAAACAAATATGCCATAAATGCTAAGAGTGCTCATTTTTTGAGCCGTGTGGTTGGGTTTTTGTTTGTGCGGGCCTGCTGTGTTTGCTGCCCTACCCACACCCCAATTTGGAGCAAAGCTGAATATAAGAGAACCCAAAGGCATCCTTGGCGGCATTGCTGATGGGGCGGAGGGCGGGGTAGACCTAGGGCAATTGTTCCCAAGTCCTGTTGCTTCTGTTCTCCATACATCCATCCTGTAATTTCCTCTGCTTCTTCCTTTATCCTGCAGCTGACTCCAGATTATGTCAACATTAGAAATTCTCTCCCTGCTTCGTCTCTCCTGTTCTGGTCCTCTCAGACGAGTACTGCTAGCTATGACCTTCAGAACACAGATCTGGCTCCTTTAGAATAAAATCCAAGCTCCTCAGCTTGACTCCTACAACCTGCCCCTAACTCGCCAGGCTCCCCCAGCCATGCCCGCCTCCCCCAGCCATGCCCGCCTCACCTGCCGTGCCTACTCTAGATCCACTCCAGACGGACCCCCTGGCTCTCTGAGCCTCACGCCTCTGGGGCAGTGCTGTCTCCCCTCAATCCCCATCATGGGCCCCTGGCATGGCCCAGCAGCCCTACCACCTGCCAAGCTCCCTTCCTCCTGGTGAGGAAGCCAGAGAGAGCACTGGAGTGAAAAGGTTTGCATTGTGCTGATAAGGTATAGACCTCCCACCTCTGCAGGACCCACCCGCGAATCTGAAATCAAGCCATCCCTAGGAGTAACAGCAAGACTGGAAACAATACATTTCTATCATTATTTTATAAAATAAAATTAAGTTACATGCTCGATAAAGAGGGTACAAATATACTGTACGTGCTGATTATATAAATCGCCTTGACATATTGTAAAGCATGCTCAAGCAAGTAAAAATGACTTCATCCTAAATTGAACCTAAAACTAATATGCTAGCAATAACATTAAACATTTAATACTAATTTTATCTGCCCTCTCTGCAGTGATGGTTCTCTCGATAAAAATGTCCTATAGCTAACAGGCCAATTAGGATCATTCCACTGCCCTTAGAACTGCAATTCAAAATTGGTATCATTCTGTTAAAAATAGTCCTCGCAGCATCTAAGTATTTAAAGCCTTGAAGGCCTCACTGGAAGCTTTAATCATAAACATTTGGAGAAGAAAAGTCTGTTAGATCTGATCTCCTATTCTCTCTCCTTGCCCGCCCCATCTTGCCCTGCGCAGTGCTATGCACATCATTATGATCTTCCTTGTCATTAGTAAGTTCCTGATGGCAGCTTTGGAAGCGCAAAATATTCGCATGCAGACAAGTCTGAGGGGCTGTGTCTCCCTGTCATCATGCAGGTGTCTGTATTTACGGTTTGATTATATGGACGTGAACTTGGGGGTTGGCCTTTATCTGTGTTTAGCATCAGGGATGATAACCAAATGTGGACAGAGAGAGGCTAAGGTGTGAATTCCGAGGTACTGTTCATTGACGCGAACTATGTTGGGCAGAGATGTGCGAAGCAGCAAAAAGTGAGATTTCCTCCTATTTTTCTCCTTCTTTGTACATTTTCCTTCCAGTTCAGCCCAACTGCTAGAACACCTTAGACACTGGGGAGCAAGGGAGTTACTGAGAGTGCTTCGTGAGACTCAGGGTCGGTTGGCAGTGACCACGGAGCTCTGACCACATATAGAGTGCTGGATTGGATTCTGTCAGGTTCCCCAGTGCCTGGAGCCCTGGAGGGTAGAGATGCCCAAGCCAAAGAAGGATGGGCTACTCCTTGAGGAGCGTGACCCCAGAGCTGATTTGGCAGGACTCCTAAGAGACACACATTTCCCAGAAGGAGCCTGAACGTGGTTGGAGGACGGTGCTGAACCTGCAGGCAGAGATATTGCAGATTCCTACTAGAAAAGGAGGTTCATTCTTCCCCTCCCTCGGCTGAGGTCAGCCCCTACTTCTGAGTTCCCAGAAGTTTCTGTCCAGGAGTGGGGCTGACCAAGTACATTCCAACTGCCTAGAATAAGAGGTTCTTTGTCAAGGCAACTGACCTTTGAGTGATTCTTGGGCAGTGACTGGGCTTGCTAAAGCTGTCCCCGCTCTCCAGCCTGCTGGTCTCCATCTCTGACTTAGCCTTTCCTCTCCAACCTGCCCTGTTCCCAAGCTCTATACACCTGCTCCTCCTTTCCTGGAGCTCAGGGCCTCTTGACTGAGCACAAGGTGTTCAAGCAGAACCAGCTGCCTATTCTAGACTTCAATAGGAGACACTTCTTGCCTCATTCCCTGTGTATTTTCCTCAGTTGTTATAACTCTCCTCCTGCCTTGGCCATTGTCCCTGAGCTCCTGTTGTTATCACCTGTCAGGTGTCCTCTCCTGGTGTCGGTTGCTGCCCGTGAACCTGATTCTATCCCAGATTCCTTGGGTTCTGCCTTCCTCACCTGCTGGGAACCCCTACGAGGACATCCAACCCTTGGCTGTCACCTGCTGCTGTCGTCTGTACCTGCTCTTGCCCTTCCCCCTCATCCTGCTCCTAGTACTCAGGCCAGCTCAGTTTCCCAGACCTATTACTACACTGGACTCCTTCCAGAACACGGAGCCCAGATCAGATTTCTGCTGAGACCAACCCGTCTGGCCGTGGTCCTGTTGAGCAGCCATCATCCTGAGAAGCCCACACTCTATTTTCCTTGAGAGTATGGGCCCAACTACAGGATCTACCCGGGAAGGTTATGGTAAGGTAGGACCAACACAGAGAGCGTCTAACCTTCTAAGGTACTTGGAAAAATTCAAGTTCATAATTACAATCCTTCCATCCTTAGTATTGGGGCCCAACATGGGGAAGAAAGAATAGCATATTCAAAGAAGTAGGCCTTAAACTTCTTGACTTTTCAGTGTCTCTTTCTACCATAATTTTCACTTCCCATCAAAATTTCCACTCCTGATTAGTAGCCAATTGCTTTTTATTTTATTTTATTTTTTTTTAAAGATTTTATTTATTTATTTGAGAGTGAGAGAGCACAAGAGGAGGGAGCGGGAGAGGGAGAAGCAGACTCCCCGCTGAGCAGGGAGCCCGATGCGGGACTCGATCCCGGGACTCCAGGATCATGACCTGAGCCGAAGGCAGTTGCTTAACCAACTGAGCCACCCAGGCGCCCTTTATTTTATTTTTTTATTCATTCAGTCATTTTGTTAGCAAAAGATGGTTTTTCCTTATTAGGATTTTTGGGGATTTTTTTTTTTACAGGAAAAGGAAAAAGCAGCGATCTAAACTCTGGAATTTGGGAAGCCTTCTAGTTTCTTCTCTTGCCAAACCCCACCCCACCTCTTCCTTTCCCTCATTTAAACTCTGTGAACTAAGGTTGAAGCCCTTCATACATAAGATGCTGGGGATGATTCATGAGAGAAGAGAATCCTACTCTGCCTGCCCCCGTTTCCCACCCGCCGTGTTTGGTTGCCCGAATGTGGCCCGGTTTGTGTGCAAGGAAAGTGTGTCTCCTTTGGAAGGGCCCCAGCCAGGCTGCCCCCCAAGCAGTCCAGGTTTCCTGGACTGTGACGCTGATGGCCTCTGAAGAGCAAGGCCAGCACCAGCCCCCACTCATCCCCACCCCCACCCCAGCAGGGACTGGGGGGGCTCCTGTTTGCTCCAGGAGCTCAGAGACCCAAGGCTGGCTTTGTATTTGAAAGACATTCTGTAGATAAGAGCATGACTTGATCCCTTTGTAAACATGCCCAGAGATGACTATTTAATAGTGCTTAATAATATTAAGTAATAATTTAATAATAGTAGACTCAGTTCACCAAACATTTTTTAAAAATGGATAGGAAGGGGCGCCTTGGTGGCTCAGTCATTAAGCGTCTGCCTTCGGCTCAGGTCATGATCCCAGGGTCCTGGGATCGAGCCCCCACATCGGCCTCCCTGCTCTGCAGGAAGCCTGCTTTCCCTCTCCCACTCCCCCTGCTTGTGTTCCTGCTCTCACTCTCTCTCTCTCTGTCAAATAAACAAATAAAATCTTTAAAAAAAATAAAAATTAAAATGGATAGGAAAATTTCAGAGCAGGGAGGCTGTTTTCCTTATGATTGCTCAGTATAAAAGTTAGCTCAAGGGTACCTAAGAAATGGTATCTGATGTCTTTAAAAAAAGAACATTGAGGGGACGCCATGACTGCTGTTACTTTGTAGGTTTGGATTTGCAAAGCTGGCTCAGATGCGAGGCGGTTTGGACACACGATGCCTGAGACCCAACAGCTGCCCCAGGAGGCATCGTGCAGCCTTGGCTTGTGGCCTCGTGGTACCTCCAGAAAGCACCTTGTAGTCATAGCTTTTATCTATTTCTTTTCATTTAACCAAACTTTGTTTTAAAAAAGAAGATAAAGCAACTAGCTAATCAAAGGCTTTTCAAATATCTGCCTACCATTCAAAGATGTTTATGATTGGGACGGAGGCATAAAGGAGAACAAATCCTTTAATCCATTCTTTATTATATGTCTGGCGTACGAACCTGGCTTTCTAGCATCAGGCAGCTTTCACACTTTAAAAGCTTGCGCTGACAGCTCTACCATAAGCTTTAAGACGGGTGTTTTGCTACTTGCTTTTGACTTGGAGGCATTAACCTGATTCCTCAGCACCTCTGTTAGGTTTGGGAGTTCTCTGCCCACTTGACCTGTCCTGCATTTCTGTGTATCAAGAAGGACTCTTCTAGTCCACATGGTTTGGCTTAACAAGTAGAAGGATCGACACCCCGGAATGGGCACGGGAGCGCATTCACGAGTCCATGGAGTCTTGTGATGCTCTCCCCGTCACAGGATAGAATCCCTTCCAGCTCTTCTTCACCTTCCTATGAGGTCGGTCGCTGATTTGCTTTGGATTGCTCAGGATTCGCTTTTATTTGCACCACTGGGTTTCCAAAGCGCTCCTAAGCCTGATTATTACGTATCTGGGTTATTTGTGTAAAAATACCGTGGCTCCAGCCATATGGAAGGGGTTTTGTTCCAGCCTGGCGATGTGGGCTCTGCACCGTGAGGGTCGTCCAGGGACTTCCATGCCTGGGACTCCAGTTGTTACCACTCCTCAACCTCAGGAAGAGGGGAAGAGAGGACACGGAGGCCAATCCTGTCTTCTAAGCAAGTGACGCCAACGTTGTTCACCTCACTTTCCCTCATTTTAATGGCAACATTTTAGTCACGTGGCCTCAGCTAGCAGCAAGAGGGTCTGGGAACTGATCCCCGTGAGCAGCCACAAGCCCCCCTAAAATTCCAAATTACGAGGGAAAAGGAGGGAAAGAGATTCCAGGGGAGACGTCTAGCATTCTGCCTTAGAAACCTAACTCCCTAAAGAAAATTACAAAGATTTCAACTAGAATGACGTTGGACAGATTTGCAGCAGCTTCTTCATTAGAAGTTAAGCAATAACCTTTTCTAATGAACATCTACTCTGTTTTCTTTTTCTTTCTTTCTTTTTCTTTAGACAGAGAGTGGGGGGAGGGGCAGAGGCAGAGGCAGAGGGAGAGAGAGAATCTTAAGCAGGCTGCCCGCACAGCACGGAGCCCAACGCGGGGCTCGATCTCACAACCCTGAGATCATGAGCTGAACTGAAATCAAGAGTCAGATGCTCAACCGACTGAGACATCCAGGCGCCCCTACTCTGTTTTCTTTAGTGTGCAAGTGCCTTGTAAGTGGGGCATGCACCCTTCTTGGTGTGCCTCACCTGATCACATGCTCGTGTGGCCACCGTGGAACACGTGTCGGGTTTGGGCTCAGACATGCACTCCTAGTTCTCAGTAGGAATTTGATTCGTGGCATTTTTTCTTGGGATTCAAGAGAGGCATTGAAGAAGACAACCACCAGCCAGGATCATCAGGGGTTGGCCTGCGAAGGCTAGTTTGGGAAGGATTGGGTATTTTTAGCCTGGAGAAGAGAAGAGCAAGAAAAATGGGATTGCTCTTTTCAAGTGGTTGAAGGACAGGCAGGTAGAAGGTGTAGCCCTGTTTTTTACTGCTCCCTAAAGTAGAATTGTGAATAAAGGACAAAGTTATTAGGGTTTAGCTTAAAATATGAAGAAGTGTTTATTTAGTTGTCGAGAAACGGGATGAGCTGACCTGTCGAGTACGCTCGTCATTGGGTGCTGCGTATTTCTGGTTTCTGAAGGTGTTCACTCAGGTTTGAGACTGTAGAAGGAATAAGTAGTTAGGGCCTCAGAATCATCTCCATTAGGAAAAAATAGTAATTTTATTCCATGTTCATCTTATCCTCCGCGAGGTACAGATGCTTCCTAGGTATGGTATGTGTCACTTAAATATGGTAATACCATCAACCATATTGTGTGATGATCATAGGACTTCCAAGGTCTTCACATGCAATACCTGCAGGTTTTATATTCCTTAACCTTTGCAGTTGATTGGTCCTCAGGCCCATCTCAGATTCTTCATAAACGTTCTTCCTAAAGTTCTCTCTTTCTCCCCACTAGAGCCATCTCTCTCCTTCTTTGGAACTCTGTGGGAAGTCCTCCATGATTTTCTTGTGGTGTTTCTTATCTTCCCTTTACAGATATCCCTTTACAGACATCTTTACAGGAGATATCTGTGCTTTTATCTTGTCCATCTAACTCTAGGCTCCTTGAGTCGAAGGCCTTCTTCCTCCTTACACCCCTGCACTAAGACAGAGTATTTCCCCCGTGGGTGCTCAACAAATACTTGACCTCAGATCGAGTAATTCTTTGATCTCACTGGGTTTGGGTTCAGAATTTGCTCTTCCGAGCATCAATCCTTTCTGCTTGTATCTACTCATGAGATGGTACACCTCGTCTGTCCTTATGTTCTTCATCTGTAGAATGAGTGGCTAGGGAGAGCTGGTCTCCAGGCTGGTTCCTGCTGATTCTTGGTGCTGGGCTGGAGTGGGCACTAGTTGGAATGGCTGTCCAGACATCACCCAGATGCTGGCCAGGTGGTCACTGTGCTAATTGTCCCAGTCATGCAATGAGGGTGGAAGGGGCGTGAGACCCAGTGACGGTATTGCTTTCCCCAGGTACGTGTGCATTGCCATGGAGGCCCTGGACCAGTTGCTCATGGCCTGCCATTGCCAGAGCATTAACCTCTTCGTGGAGAGCTTCCTCAAGATGGTGGCCAAGCTGCTGGAGTCGGAGAAGCCCAACCTGCAGATCCTCGGCACCAACTCAGTAAGGAGCCACCTGGGGGCTGGGGAGGACGGGGGTGGGGGTGGGCGTGGAGGACGTCTGGGTCAGCCTTGCTATAATCCATTCTTATTTGGATTCTGACCCTAAGTATAACTCACCTCTTATCTTCGTGTCCATCTTTGCATGAATAAAGGGCTATCTGGTTTTTTAACTTAAATAAATATATAACAAACAAAATAAATTTTAAAGATAAAATTCACCATAGTAAAGCATATGATTCAGTGGTTTTTTAATATATTCACAAGGTTGTGCAACCACCACCACGATCTACCGTATTTATCTTTAGACGGGTGATCTTCAAACGTTTTTTAGTCATGGATTTTTTTTCCCCCTGAAATAATTTTAAGTGGGGCCCCAATGGATATAAAAATAGATGGAAAGGGAGCCATTCCTTTGAGGGCAGGGGGTGTCCTGTGCCCTCACAGCTTGGCCCCCGACTCCATGGGGCACACTTTGAAAGCTGTCCAGCTAGTGCTTCTCTCAAAGAACCACAGGACAGAGGCATCAGATAAGTGGAAAGATCACGGGGAAGCAGGAAATGGGGCTTCTGGCTTAGTTCTGCCCTTGCCCCGCCGGTTGACCTTGAGTGGGCTATCCTTTATGGACCTGTCTTTCCATCCATACAGGGAGCCAACTGAACTTGCTCCAAGCTCTGTAATGCTGGTCTCCCTACAAGGCGCTGCTCTCACGAGAGGCTATGGTTTGGGGGGATGTCGAATGTGATGTGTCAAAAACTCCCTGCTTCATATTTATCTCTATATCCTCGAATATCCTGGTGGCTTTCTTCAACGTCTTGCCCTTGGTCCTCCTCCCTCCCCTTCGGGGCATACTTTCAGCTCCAGGCCTCTGAGCAGCTTGGTGTTAAAAGCCCTGAAAGGCACCTATTTGACGGACATCACAAAAGACAAGTCAGAGCTGTGTGCCCTCTTCACCTTCCCAGCTGGGCTTTTCTGAATTTTTATCGCACAGATCACAACTGCTTTCCTGTTCTACCTGAGTTGATTTCCCCAGAAGAAGAGAGTCTTTAAATTTTAATTTTCAGGCCCCAAACTAGCAACTGTGGCTTTCCCTTTCCTCTCCCTGGAAACCAGCTGCCTTTGACAAATTACATATACAGTAGCTGAGGGTGAAGTCTTTTGTCAGGTTGCCCCGGCAACAGCTTTCGATTCTGTTTCATTTGTCCTGTTTAAGATAACTATAGTCTAGGAGAGAACATCTGAATGGAAAATAAGCCAGTCATGCATCCAGAGGGCCTCTCCCCATGGGGAACGCAAAAGCAGGTGGCTGCCAGAACTGCCTTTCCCCACAGCCAGACCAGGCCCAGGATAGGTGTTTTGTTCACTGCAGCCTTGCAAATTCCTAGATTCCCCATCACAGCGAATCACTGCCTCAGCACGGAGTGAGTCAGCTCATGATTCCTGTGCTGCACACCATGAAGGTTATATAAGGACAAGCGATTCTGAGTAAGTGAAGTCACATAATTACAATAGATTCAAAGTCCAGCTTTGGAGGCAGCTTTTGCTAGTGGTACCCCTCATCCAGATGCTCTTTCCAGCTCTCAAAGACTGGGACCTCCACAAACCTCCGAGAGAATGCTGTTCTTTTGCTCCTCATCATCTTAGAACTGCCAGCCTGCTAGCACTTGATGTGGTCCTAGAGAGTCTAGCCTAGGTGTTTCAACTGGTTTTCATGGGGCTTCGAGGTCTCGTGGGGGCAAAGGAGGACCTGGGAGGAGGACTAGAAGGATTCTGTATGGAAGTTTGCAGCCTTTCATTTGGATAAAGGGTTTTGCTGCTAGGAAATTAACAGGAAGACATGGAAAGAGGGGGAAAGAGAAAGGAAGCTTCCCATGTGATGCTAGCAGCAGATTTGGGGACCCCTGACACACTGCAGCCTTAAACCTGTGCAGGGCTCCTCTCTTCCTCCCTTCCTTCCTTTCTTCCTTTCTTCATCCCTAATAGATGTTCATCCAGCTTGTACTTGATCACCACAAGGATGACGTTGTGTTGAGACTTGTCACAAAATCCAAATTTGCTAATACCACTCCTGCACATTGCATGCAGTAAAGTGTGATTTTTAAAAATCTAAGCGATGCTTTCAAGCCCTTAATGAGAATATCGGAGTTTTGGAGGATGATGAGTGGCCAGGAAAATCTGGAGAAGATGAGGAGCCAGGGCCAGCTAAGCTCAGTTTACTTGTTTGGGTATTTGCATTTGTGTTCCTGCCTTATTGCCTGATGGGTCCAAATGTGTATCCCAGGGACAGTGAAGTGAGTATGTGTCCTGACCTTTTGAGATCACTCACTGATGATAAACTGAAAATATTAAATCTGAAAATGCCGAGGTCCCCTATGTGACCAATCCAGTGTATTAACCTAATGTATACAAATAGTAAATTCTTAAGAAGATTCATGGACTACAGTTTGCACTTTTGTCCCTGCATCACAACGTATACAAAAATTAACTAAAAATAGACAAAGACCTAAATGTAAGAGCTGAAACTATAGAACTCTTAAAAGAAACTATAGGATTATGTGTTCATGATCTAGGATTTGGCAATGGATTCTTAGGTACAACATCAAAGGCAGAAACAACAAAAGAAAAAACAGACAAGTGGACTTCATCAAATTAAAAACTTCTGCGCATCCAATGACACTACAGAGAAAAGTGAAAGGCAACCAAAGAACAGGAGAAGATATTTACAAATCATATATCTGATGAGGGTCCAACAAGCAGAATGTATGAGAAATTCTTACAACTCAACAACAGAAAGACAACCCAATTAAAAAATGGTTCAGGATTTGAATAGACATTTCTCCAAAGGAGATCCACAGATGGCAAAGATGCATATGAAAAGATGCTCAACAGGGGCGCCTGGGTGGCTCAGTCATTAAACGTCTGCCTTCGGCTCAGGTCATGAT